ACTGATAATGTGTCAAAACTTATTAACTTTCAGGCATAGTTTGAGATTTGGAGTTATCCCTTTCTCTTACTGAGATATTCCTTGCTGAAATGGAAGCGCGCGCGCGCGCGCGCACACACACACACACACACACACACACACACACACACACACAGGTGAAGGTGCAGAGTTTCCTACCCTGTACCTGGTGGGTGAATTTCTAAATCATAAAGCCAGGTTTGTGGCCCTCTTCTGGATAGATACTCAAGTAGGCTGTCAACATGGCAAGTGTTCTTTCCTTAGCTGTTCTAGTACCAGAGCTTCTAAGAAAAGACATTCCTTTTTGCATTTCAAGAAATAGACCCAGCAAGGAACCAATAATGGAATATGACAAACTTTGCAAAGACATTTTTTAAATTCTGTTTTTTTTTTTTTTGCGGGGGGGGGGGGGTGGGGAGTGTACTGGGGATTGAACTCAGGACACTCAACTACTAAGCCACACTCTCAGCCCTATTTTGTATTTTATTTAGAGATAGGGTCTCACTGATTTGCTTAGTGCCTCACTGTTGCTGAGGCTGGTTTTGAACTTGCGATCCTTCTGTCTCAGCTTCCAGAGCTACTGGGATTATAGGCATGTGCCACCATGCCCATCTTAAAATCCCTTTTAAGGCTTATCTTTTTTAAAATTAACTTTTGGTTTTTAATTGACACATAATAATCTTACATATTTATGGAGTACAGTGTGATATTTCAATTCATGTAGTACATGTGATGATCAGATTAGGGTAACTGGCATGTCCATCATATCAAACATGTTTCACTTATTTGTGTTGGAAACATTCAAAGTCCTCTCTACTAGCTCTTTGGAGATACACAACAAATTGTTGTCACCCATAGTTATCCTATTGTGCTATAGAACATTAGGAGTTACTCCCTCTATCCAACTGTACCCCCATCCTGTTAACCATTCTTTTTACCACCCAGCCTTCCCATGTTCTCTTGCTACTTCTGTGAGTTGAACTTTTCAGCTTCTCTATATAAAAGAAAACATGCAGAGTTTGATTTTCCATTCCTGACTTATTTCACTTTGCATAATGTTCTCCAGCTTCATCCATGTTGCAGCAAATGCCAGGATTTTACCCTCTTTTATTTGGTACCAATCATTCTTGTCCAATTCATAAGGGACTCCCGCAGGACCACCAGGTATAGGAAGAGAAGTGGATAAGGTTTTCTGCTGGCTCAGGTCTCCTGGGAACCCAGTGTGCTATTTGCCAACTCTCTGGGAGAGCGGGGGAATGTGCAGGTGTTTAGGCAGCATCAATTCAGGTGTATGAAACCTTTCGAGTCAGGTGAAGTTCAAATTCAAAAGTTATTAACTTTGAGGTTAGTTTGAGATTCGGAGTTATCCCTTTCTCTTATTCAGATATTCCTCCCTGAAATGGAAGCACTAAAAAAAAAAAAAAAAAAAAAAAAAAAAAAGAGGTGAGCATAAAACCTTAATCAATCATCTCAGCTTGGAATTCCTATTGAAACCAGTTCCTGTAAGACCTGGGAGTATCTTTTATCTCTACTGAATGAACACTCCTTACTACAAAAGCATAAGCTATTATTATTCAGCATATAGAAATTTCTGATGCCAGAAGTCACTGGTGTGTGCTCTTGGATCTCAATAAGATAACTTTTGCAAGCATTTTGGTTTATAAACATGGATTTTAACCACTAACTTCAGGTCTAGTTCCAGTAGGAGCAATTATTTCATATAGGTATTCATGGGACTGAGAAATTCCACCACTTTATTTAAGCCATGGGATAGATTGAGCTGTCTTCCTCTTTGAACATTTGTACATTTCTTGGCTTGCTTGGAGCTGGTACCAGGTGAGATCAAAGACAACTACAGATCCTGTATTGCATTCTAATATATGTTAAAAGCTAAGCTCTCATGGTTCCTGTCGTAACTAGAAAGGAGAGCTCATTCACAAGAAGAAGATGAATTAAAAATTAGGAAGAGCCAAATGTGGATATAGATATGGACTTTTTTTTTTTAATATGCCGCAGCAAAGAAAATCACATTTGGTGACAATCCTAGGACCACCTTCTGGGCTTTCTGCTCTGGAGGTGGAAGCAGCTGTCTTTGCAACCCAGGACCACCCTCACTCCATGGCTTTTGTTTCCTGTTACTGAAGAGGCCCAAGATGATGGGCAATGTCCTCCAAATCCCTGAACCACCATCCAACTCCTTTGTTTGTGTATGTAGGTTTTTGTGCTGGTTTCTGGGAATAATTTTGCTTTGGAGCAGATGAGACACTCCCCTCAACTTCGTACAGCTTGGCCCCTCACCTGCTGTCCTGCGTTTAATTTCATGGACCGTCTCCTGACTCCTCTCAGAGTTCAGGAGTCTCATGGAGGCTGCTGGAGTGATTTTCTCTCTGCCTTGAATCATGGCCTGTAAGTGCTCAGTCTATACCAAAGATGCATAGAGGAACAAAAACCTGTGTGCTAAATTCCTACTGATGACAAGTGGCCTCATATTTCAGTTCTGTTTTGAGGTGTCTTCTCAGAAATATTCTTGTGAGATACTAGAGAATTGGGAGGCTTATGGTGCATCTCTATTGTATGGAGGATATAAATGGTTCCAAGAATGGTTCTATTTCAGAAAAACCATGAGATATTAGGTTAACCAATTAATGATAAAATTATGTCCGTCTCTCTCTGTCTCTCACACATGCCTTTTATTTCTATTCTGTATTTGCCTTACACCTTCTAGTCAGAAAACTCTGCATACCTAAGCTTGACTTCTGACTTTATCACTCGTTCCCACCATTACTGATGTTCTCATTTGATGTCCTTTTAATAGTCAGGTATTTCTTGGCCTATGGACAGTGACTTTTGAAGCTAACCCATGAGAGGGGTGACTTTAGAATTTATAGAATCTGAAAACGTTAGAACTTTCTTTGAAAGATAAGAAATACAAAGGACAGGAAATATGAGTAACTTCTCCAGAATCATGCTGTTTTCAAATATAGGTAACTGGATTGTCAAAATTGTCTTTTACACACATACATTAGAACGTCTTGGAGGGCAAAGAGCACAGAATTTAGATTGAAAAGGAATTGTGTCTGACAGTAAGCAATCACTTAGTGATAAGATGGCTACAAGTTGTGAGACCTTCTATGAGGAAGCTTATTTTTCAATTTTAAAAATATTATTCACCTTATTTACTTTATAGAAGTTCAAGGATTCTACAGAGTATGAGTGAAAATGTTTGTAAACTACGAAGTCCTGCACAAATATTAATTTTGACTTCCATCAGCATGCAATAGTTTTATATTTAAATATATAATGCATAGATTTATATGTATACATCTTAATAAGTTAATTAATGTGCCAATAAAATAATTCTCAACAAAAGCCGATCTTTTCCATATCTCATAAATGCCCAATTTATGATCATCTGTGGTGGGCTTTCTGCAGACTAACAAGACAGCTTCATATCTTGGAGATCAGATTAAGAATGGGGAAGAATACAGATGGGATTTTTCTGTTCTGGAATCCAAGTCCACCTTTTGGAATTTTAATATCCCTTTCTCATAGGGAATGAAGAGCTGATTCAGTGGAGATATCCAACCATTTTCTGCTTCACGGATATTAATATAGTCTTTGAAGCTCTGTGGATATTTACCGTTTTACTGGGATTAACTACTCCACATAATTTAGAGAAGTAAATATAGTTCTAATTTATCGTAATATAGACATTTACAGAGGGTAGGAATGGCAGATTTGTTTCAAATTAGGGGTACTCATCAGTTGCCTGGTGGTGATGGCTTAGACAACTGTGTAGAAGGAGATGCTGAGACTACATGTAGGTCTGGTGGACAAATGCCACCATCAATCTGGCAGTGTCCATCAGAGGCTTAGGTAGAGAAAACACATGTAACAATGGAAATAACACTGAGGCTTTGGTTGTAATCCTGGTGTCGCCATCATTTACCCAGGAGAACTGAAGCAAGACCCTCAATCACTCTGCATCTCAATTTTCCTTATTTTGGAAAAAAATTATATGGCTATGCTTCCTTCCATGAACTTTCTCTCTTCTTATAAAGGCAGTTCATACGTTGTCATTCTTGTCAACTCAAGTACATTTCAGTAGGCAGATGACTGACCTTAGTGATTATAAAGGCGCCATTCCACCTTACCTACCACCTAGGATCTTATGAGATTAGATTCCAGAAAATGCACATGAAAATATTTTATGAACAGCAAATGCTACAAAAATATGCCACAAATCATGATTTCAACTTCCCAGTTTTCTAAGTAGTAAGCTCTCTAGAAAGTCAAGAATATGAAAGAAATTCTTTTCCTTTTTAAGAATATTCTCAGAACATTCTTTTGGCTACAGCAAAGGAAAATAAAATTAATAATGATATTTTTAAATGATGGAAACTGAATGTGTTTGACTTGGAACCTTTTATCATCCTTCTATGATTCTCAGAATGAGAGAGAATTGCTGAAGTTTTTTTCCCATTAAGAAAAAGGAACTATCATGATTGTTTGTTTCTTTTTTGTTTGCTGTAAAACTCTTTAGAAAGCCTTTTGTTTTCTTTCTGCCCCCTCTGAAGTCAGGCTTAACATTGGCACAGAAGATCTTTGGACTGATTTTAGCTAAATCATTTTCTTCCAGTTAGAAGAAAGAAAAAAAAAAAAGACAAAGTTACACAGTTGTAATGCATAATCAAGTGATAAGAACTTCAGTCAAGTGGAGGGCAGCAAGGTCTTGTAAAGTTGTCCAGAGGGAGATGTGGGGGGTCCCCAAGTACCACAGTCTTCCATCCATTGTATCCCTACTTTGGAGTTGATGAGTTTCTTTGCTTGTCCGCTATCATTTCATTTAAAGGGCTGGGAGGTTGTGGGTGAATGGCAGGCATCTTAGTAAGCCAAGGGGAGGGTGTTCATGGATTTAGTTCAGGCTGCCACTGGCTTTTGAGAAAGAGCCCCATTTATGATCACTGGGCCTCTGTTTTCAGATCAGACTCCGACCCCCACGAGATTCCTGAAGAACTGCGAGGAGGTGGGCCTCTTCAGCGAGCTGGACTGCTCCTTTGAGCACGAGTTCAGAAAGGCTCAGGAGGAGGAGAGCAGCAAGCGGGTAGGTTTGTTGAGGAGGATACCTGGAGAGGTGCTTCCCTAACGCTGGCTAGAAACTTCCACCCGGAAAGCAAGTGACACCACAGAGTCCATTGAAGTTGCTTGAAATAATACTTCGTGTCTTTGCAAGTGTTTGAATCCCTGATGGTGGGTAGAATCCAAAGCTTGGATAAATCATGAGAAAATAAATGTATCAAATATTAAATTAAAGCAAGAAAAAAAGTTACCTGATTCTTGAAGCTGTGTGGATAAACTCACTATTTTGATTTTCAACCAGTAGTTTTATTTTGCTAAATATTTAGCATCAGCCTTACATGGGTGGTGAGCACAGAAGACAAGAGTCAAAGGGTAAGAGAACAGCTGAATCACAGGCGCAGGAGAGGGGAGTTCATCTGGTTTGGGCCCAGCTTATAACTGTGTGTGTTTCATAATCTTCCACAGATTCATAATTACTTCCTGTTTATGTTACCTGGTCAGATTATTGAACACCTCTTGTTGGTGAAATAAATACTTTTTTTTTGTTGTTGTTGTTGTTCTTAAAAATGTAAGAAATTGGGCTGGGGTTGTGGCTCAACTGTAGAGCACTTGCCTAACTTGTGAGGCCCTGGGCTCGGTCCTCAGCACCACATAAAAATAAATAAATAAGGTATTATGATCATCTACAGCTAAAAAACATTTTTTTTAAAAAAAAAAAGCATATCTTTTAAAAATGTAAGAAAATCAGGCTGGGGCTGTGGTTCAGTGGTAGAGCACTCACTTAGCAGCACATGCAAGGCCCTGGGTTTGATCCTCAGCACCACATAAAAATAAATAAATAAATAAATAAATAAAGGTATTGTGTCCAACTACAACTCAAAATAAATAAATAAATGAATAAATAAATATATACAAATGTAAGAAATTCACTTTATGAAATCCTTTAGAATATATTCTATTTTTATTTTAACACTGTGTGGGAATTATAAAATCACTTTACACGATGAAATAAAGAAGATGGGGTCACAGATAAAGGTGACAAGGTTGCTTTTTAGTATTTTTTTGTGTCACTGTCATAGAGCATTACTAATGTCCACAGCCTACTGAAAAACAAATTAGACACAGTCCATGAACAGAAAGTTAAAACGTGAAAGATGATTGAAAGGAAGGGCTAGCTAGGTACTCATGAATTCCAAAGTTCCAGCTGTTCCAACTGGAGAGGAAATTTTAAAAGACTGACATTTCTCTGAGTGTTTCAAAGTCTTTGAATCTTCCTCTCTGTGAAATTATAATAATCCCCCTCCACCAGATTTTTCATGTCACATTCTTACATCATGATAGGCCAGGGCTTGTATTCAGTTTGTACAGCTTTAGGGGGAAAAATCAGAAAAAGAATTGATATAAATATAAGAGGGGTACAAAATCTCAATTCATTTTATTTATTTATAATTACTTTCTTATTTATATTTGACACTCTCATCCACTACCCAGCTAAATGACATAGAGTGCCTTTTTCTTGTTTGAAAGCAAATACTTATATAATAAGTACCATTTACTAGGCAAATAATAAAGTTATGAGCACTTAAAAAATTAACTCGATAAAAATACAAGGTATAATTCTATATCTCATTTCAATGGAATTATATTTTGAAAAGCCATGAAAATAGCAAAGGACAAGTAGGAAGTCTCATCTAGTAAATTTCCTCTGGTTGAATAATCAATTTAGTTCCTTTGGTAGGTTTGCTGATGTAGAAGACTGTTAGAGGAATTAAATTTGGTCATTTCTTGAGATAATCAAAGTTGGCTTCTTAGATAAACTGAGCCATTGAAAGATGTCTGCTTGGCCCATGTTGTCTTCATGTGTGGTAGAATGGTTTTAATGCTCTTGCTTTTCCTAAAGACATTTCACCAAGAATGGTTTTGTGAAGCTCACAGTAGGGGTGTGGTTTTCGAAATTCTCCGCTGCATTATACATGATTTCCTATACGAAGCCAATGTGAGGAATTCTTGCAGAACTGAATTCCAGGAAATGATTTGCTTCCCCCAAAGAACTGAAATATTTTCTCTTCCTGGACATGAGAATCGTGTAACTGGTTGTTTCTCTTTTCGCTTTGACTGCTAGGTGAACAAAAAGCCAAATTTATTGCTTAACTTGGAGAACTTTTTAGAACACTATGATGAGCCATATTTTACTTCCTCCATGTACTAGACTTTCAGTTCTAGTTCATATTTTCTCTGGTCCTGATTTTTAATTTAAAAAAAATTTTATACTAACCATGTTTGGTGAGTTGCTGTAAATGCCTTGTGGGTTGGGAAGAAGTACAAATCATTAAAAAATTAAAATAATTAGGTAAGCAACATTGAGAAAGAACTATTGCAACTGTAGAACTATGTGTTTTCTTTCTTTTAAATGCTTCTCATAGTCTGTGGGGATGATTCATGATGGGTCTGTGGGTGGTGATCCTGCAGCCAGCATGCCCTGTGGTTTGCATCTTAGGACGCCACAGTTTCATGCCCCAGCCTCACTTGCATGCACTAGAAGCTGGTCCGCATTTGGGCTGTTGAGGCTTCCTCTTTCTTTGTCTCATTTACTCAGGTGGCCATCACTACACTAGAGGGTATCCTCTGGAGGCCTAAAGCACAGAACTCATTCAACGGCCAAATGAACTGTTGGTGGATTCTACCTAGTGTTTCTTTGGAAGCTGGAGGGTGTGCAGAAATAAAGAGTAGAAGGGATGCTCCCCAATCTGACAATACCCTTTTACCTATTCCCTGGACCATTTCTCCAGATGTGGACATCTCTGGCACACTGCCACCTCCACATACTACTTCATTTATTCTTTTGCCTCTTGAAAACGTAGAGACACGAAGTCCTTATTCAACACATAGCTTATTAGCTACCCTGGAGTATTGTCTGCTCTTTTCCTTCTTCTCTGCTCTCAGATGGTTATTTCCTTTTAATCTGACATCTCCAGTTCTTCTGGTTTTTCTTTTTTGCCTCTGAGCCCTTTAACAAAAGACTCACATTGGTTCATGAGCACTTTTTTTGTAAAGTGGAAGATGGATTAATTTATCTGGAGAGTTTGTTTAAAAGCGTTCTTGTTTGAAATCTCTAAGTACTTTATACACAAATATGGGGAGGATTAGAAGAAAATCCTGTTAAAGAGAAAATAGAGAATTTATCCTTGTTTAAGCCATCTAACTGCCGATTGGAGAAAATTCTGTTCTACACATTCTATAGATTATCCTGAAACCCTTTGCCCCAAACATCCCAATATGTTAAGGACAGGCTATCAGCAGGTCAAAAAGTCCCAATATCTTTATCAGTGTTACACAGAGCAGATAACATATTCCATAATTGCCTCAAAGTTTTATGTGAATGTAAACTCATAGCCTCATAACTCTTTAATAAGATCTGCCCCCCCCCMAAAAAAAAGTATGTTGTAACTCACTAGCAGACATCACAAATCTCAGCTTGCCTGTGGCTAAGAACTCAGGATAGTCCATGTCCTGAAACACACAGTATAACTTTGTTCACTAATTTTTCTTTCAAGAAATATTTTCAGATGTCCACCACATGCCAGGCACTGTCCAAGGCATTTGATGAGCATACCACTGAATAAAGATGATAAACAATACAAAGAGTAAAGAAGTGAAGAATCTGTCTAACATTTCAGATGGTGATAAGTGCTATATGCAGCAGGGTGGGGCCCTGGGAGGCTGAGAGCCTGAGAGGGCATTTCTCACTGATGGACATGTAAGCAGAGATGCAGAGGAGAAGGCTGAGCCAGGTGCCTACTGGGGAGAAGAGTGTTAGGAGTTGAGAGAACATAAGTGCAAAATCCTGAGGCTGGATGACATGCTGCATATTGTAGGCATTGCAAAGGGGCTTATTTGAGGGGGGCGTTGCAGATAAGGCCAAGATCTGATCCAGGAGGGCCTTGCAGGTTGTTTAAAGGGCTTTGGCTTTTACTCCAAGTGAGATGGGGAGCCACAGCACAATTCTAAGCGGAGGAATGATGGGATCTGCCTTAGTGTTTTAGAAAGATCACGTTGGCTGTTGAATTGAAAGTAAGTTGTTGGAGGGCAGTGGCAGAGACAACAGTTAAGAAGATATTAAAAGAATCTAGATTGAAGATGAGAGCAGATTATCCCACAGTAGAGATGGAGGGGTTGTTAGATTCTGGATGCATTATGAAGATAAAGGCAGCAGGATTTGCTGGGGATGGATTAGACTGGGGAGTAATAGGAAGAGTAGAATCAAGAATGAAACCAGAATTTTGGCTTGTACAACTAGAAGGATGGAGTGGTCTATGGGAGGAGCAGGTTGGGCACGGGGTGGAATTGAGAGTTTTGTTTTTAAACTAAAGTGGAGATAGTGGCTCAGCAGATGGATGTACAAGTCTGGAATTCAGGGGGAAGAGAGACTAGCTAGTGTAGTAATTCCACAAGAATGGGAAAGACTTTTCTGGGCCAGAAGTAAAGGGAGTAGAGAGTTCTAAGCATAGAGATGGAMAGAATCTTCCAGAATCCTCTAAGACAGAGACTTCAGTGCTCTTCAGTGTCCAGAGATGATGCAGAAGACTGTAAAGCTTGAAGAATCAAGTCAAGAAGAGAACCCTAGCTCTTACGGAAACGCTGAGTAGACAATCTGTTCTGATTCTGTGTTCCATATTAGAGGAGAGAAAAACAGAGGATTTTAATAAGAGAAAAAGAAAAAGAAGGGTGAATCAACCTTTTATATTTATTTAATTACCTTTTTTTAAAAAAAAGAGATTGAATAATATACATCTAGGAAGCAGGAGATAACTTCAACATATAAGAGATGTTGTGTGTTTGTGAGGAAGGAAGGGCAATTGAAGGGACAACAAATGAACTCTTTTGTCTTGCTGAGAGAAATATAACATTACAGCCTAACATGGTTAAAGACTTGAGATGAAAAGCATGCTGTATAAGTGCTAAGTGTTGCTATTCTCCCATAGGACCTGAATATAACTCATTATGCTGATGTAGAAATAGCAAATT